ACATTACCTTTTGATGATCTTAATGATCAAAATATCACATTATCAAAAAATTTGCAAAGTTTGTTTGATCAATTATCACAAATAAGAGAAATTGCTAGAAATCATATTGTAATTGCATAATATAATTAAAAGAAATGTCACAATAGACAAATTGATCATCATTATCAATTTGAAATTAAAAACAAAATTCTTTATTATGATGTGATTAAAGATAAACAATAGTTTAATAAACTAAACCCAAAATGAAAAGAATCATACTATATCCATCAAGTTTTAATGAATAGATCTTATAAGATAAGAAAAATAGATAGAAGAATATTATATACTTCTGCAAATAGGAATTTATTAAAACCTTATCATGATTGTCAAATTAGGAGCTTCAAATTGTTATATAAAAGAATGAAATCCTTTAAAAATTTTCTCAAAATTTTTCAATATGATGATCTTATTTTAAGAAGTTAAAGATGATCTAATGGCTATTAATATTTTAGCAGATACTAATATCCTTTCATATTATATAAATACTGTCTCAATTGCGTAAAAAGTTAAAATAACTTATAGAACTTTATTACGAGTTATTAGATTAAAGAATAGAGTATTAATCTTAGCTAATGCATTTTATCTTAGATAAATAATGGAAACAAAAATTTCAAGTCTAGTTTAATGAACCCAGTATAAGAACTAAATGACCTTATATCATTAATAGGTCTTTAAACAATCTTATTATCTTTTTGAAACTTTGAGAATTGCACAAATTAGATATATTAGGAAGATAACTTTTAAGACGATTTATAATCTCAAATCTCAGGAGTTTAAGAACTTGATTGATGAAGCCTATGAAATTTTTATAAGAGCTGCAAATTTAGAGAAGAAAATACTATGTGAAATAAATCTTACTGCATCACAAAGATTGATAAATAATCAATATTATTAACATCATTAGCATTCTTAACTTGTTTAACATTTCTATTTTATTTACTTTATTTTTACATTTATTATTATTATTTATTATATTATTATAATTAAATTATAATTTATCTTTTATATTTATTTTAACGTTATAAAATAGTTTAGCATTAGATAGTAATTTCTTATAATTGTATTTTTATATAAATAGAATAGAAATTTGTCTTTGCAAAAGGGCAAAGATAATAGTAATAATTCAATAGTACAAATTAAAGACTTAGAATCTAAGGTTAAAGATTGCTAAGGATACATCTCTACAATAAAGGAATTTCTTTCTAAATTATATATATTAAAATCCTTTACCATGTCAATTATATTTATTGTTATTACAAATTGTTAAAGTTATTTACTCGTTTAAAATTTAAATCTGAGATTGATTGTGATAGAATTTATTTCATAATAACTTAGTAGTTTTTTGCATATTACTCCCTGTTATTAATTCATTGTTACCTTAAGTTCGACAAACTGAGCGTAAGGTTAATAACATTTAAAGAACTACCTTTTTTCAACTACTAATAACATTTTTATAGTTTGTATTTATAGTTTTTTTTCTCTTATGTTTATCTCCATTTTCTTCTTTATTACCATCTATTTCATTTTTATCTTTTTTAAGTTATTATCACCTTTTAGTTCCTATTCTTTTTTATGTTATTTATCAAATAGCAATATAATTTTTTTATATAACTAGAGTCTATATTCTTCAATCTACCTACATTCTTCTTTTTTAAGATTCTGTAATTATATTATTAATTTATAACAAATTTGCACTTTTATAAATAAATAAAAGATCACTAGTCTATTACCAATCTTCAATTCTTATTATTGATTATATAGATTTTATATTAAGTTTATATTTCAACATTTTTAAAAACAAAAATATCAATTATATAATTTACTTTTTATAATAAATTTATAATTGAAAAAAACACAGTTTCTAATAACAAAATGTTTATATTAATGTTGCAATAGAATGATTTATAAATTTTTCTTAAATGAATTTTTTGTATTTTTTTCTGTGAAAAAAAAAAGATAACATTACCTTTAGGTAAAGTTTTGTTAAAATATAATTGCATATTTTAATAAATCAAATTTTATTTGTTGGAAAAATTCAAAATAAAAAAAATAATTAGAAAATCATTATAATTTAATTCACTTACATAATTAATTTAGAAAGCTTTTATTATATACATATTAAAATTTGAATATCAAAAATTATTATAAGACTGTGTAAAAGTTACTAATATAATTTTTTATGAGATAAGATAAGTTATATTTTGGTGGGGAAATTTGGAAATATATTTGAAACAAAAAGTTTTTTTAAAAAGTTTGGTAAACTTTGTAGGATAGCGATTTGAGTTTCATAGCAATAGAGTTCCGTTAAGGAGTTGGATAAAGTTAATAAGTTACTGAATTTATAATCTTACTATATTCGAGTATTGTTAAGGAGTTTGGTAACGTTGGTAGGTTAATTATTTGAGTTTCATAGCAATAGAGTTCCGTTAAGGAGTTAGGTAAAGTTGGTAAGCTATTTATTCGAGTTTCATTGCAATAGAATATTGTTAAGGAATTTGGTAAGGTTGGTAAGCTATTTATTCGAGTATTACTACAATCAAGTATTGTTAAGGAGTCGGGTAAAGTTGGTAGGTTTATTATTAGAGTTTTATAGCAATAGAATTCCGTTAAGGAGTCGGGTAAAGTTGGCAAGCTATTTATTTTTGTGTTACTACAATCGAGTATTGTTAGGGATTTGGGTAAAGATGGTAAGCTATTTATTTGAGTATTACTACAATAGAGCTTCGTTAAGGAGTCAGGTAAAGATGGTAAGCTATTTATTTGAGTATTTTTGCAATTGAGTTTCGTTAAGGAGTCAGGTAAAGTTGGTAAGCTTTTTATTTGAGTTTTTTTGCAATAGAGCTCTGTTAAGGAGGCGGGTAAAGTTAGTAATCTACTTATTTGTATATTGAAATACCAGAGTTTCGTTAAGGAGTCGGGTAAAGGTGGTAAGCTATTTATTGGAGTATTACTACAACTGAGCATTGTTAAGGAGTTGGGTAAAATTTGTAAGCTACTTATTTTAGTGCTATAACAAACGAGTTTTGTTAAGGAATCGGGTAAATTTGGTAAACTATTTATTTGTGTTTCATTGCAATAGAGTATTGTTAAGAATTTAAGTAAAGTTGGTAAACTATGTAATTTAGTTTTTGAGCAACTGAGTATCGTTAAAGAGTTGGGTAAGGTTGGTAATCTATTTATTTGAGTTTCAAAGCAATAGAGTTCTATTAAGGAGTTAGGTAAATTTGGTAAGCAATTTATTTGTGTATTACTACAATTGAGGATTTTTAAAAAGTTTGGCAACCTTGGTAAGCTAGTTATCTGAGTATTATAGCAATAGAGTTTCTTTGAGGAGGTGGGTAAAGTTGGTAAGCTTTTTATTTGAGTATTACTACAAATGAGTACTTTTAATTTCCAATATCTTTGCAAACCTCCTAAAGCGTTTATATATCCTTGTTAAGATCCGTAATTATTAAACTTTCAACATTATCAACGTAAATGATAGCAGATTTTTCATTATTTGACCCTACTTCTTCAACGTTCATCTGATTAAAATTTTGAATCAATCGAGATAAGTCTCCATGAAATGAATTATTCGTACTAGAATAAATTTGTTGTTCTGACGATTGAAGGTTTAATTCTTTATTATTAATTTGACCATTCTCTATTTTATTTGTTTTTGTAAAAATAACATTTAATGCATCAACAACTTTGTTCATCGACGGACGATAGTCTGGCTCGCTGTTCCAGCATCCTAAAATATAAAAACAATTTAGTGATCGAAAGCATTATATTTAAATTTATAATATTATATCTGTATAAATGTTTACATAATCTTCAGGAGTACCAGGAATTATACTTTCTCTGAGTCCTTGTGAAATTTCTATAGCTAAACCAACGTCATATTCTTCACCTTCAACATAAAAGGGAGGTTGACCACTTGATATTTCCCATAACAATACGCCAACACTGTAAACGTCACTTTTTTCATTTAGCGTGTATTGTTGCAATATATTATCATTTTTTCTCCGTTTTTCAAATCTTTTAGGATCAATATAAGGAATCACACCAAAGATTTTTGACTGTTGTTTAGTTGCTGCTTCAATTCTTTTCGATAAACCAAAGTCTGCTAGTTTAATAACACCTTGATGAATTAAAATATTGCCGGAATGCTATATATATTATACAAATTTTTATTAATTATAAACAGCAAGATATCATCACAAATAAATAAGATTTATGTAAGTTTACCAAATCACAATGCACAATTCCTTCTTCATGTAAACACGAGACAGCGCTAGCCAACTGGAATGCAAGGTTGTATTTACCATCCCAAGCAAGCGTATCAAAATTATCCTTCAAATAATTGTTAAGTGCACCACCATCGGCATATTCCATCACTAACCAATATTTTTTCAATTGGACATGTTGATTTTCTAATTTTTTCATGTTTAAAAATATAAAAATGAGTTAAAAATACAATGTGAAAGTTAATAAGTATGTCCTAATTATTTAAGATTTTATACCTTGATTTGATGCTGTAATTCCCAAAAAGCGGATGATATTGCAATGAAAATCAACTTCCCGTTGATGTTCAAGCTAATTTATTGTGAATATAAATTTTAGCTTGATATATATATAAATTATACATAAATGATTTTATACTAAATAGATTGAAATATAATTTTGCATTTTGTAATTACCTCACGAACAAGTTCTTTAACAGTGGCATTGTTTATAAAATGAAATGTTTTTAACGCGAGGTATTGCTTTAAACTTTTCCAATTTGCACGAAAAACTTTTCCAAAGCCGCCTGTACCAATCTCTTGAAAATTGCTAAAATGTTCGTATTCGTAGTATTTTATATCTTTGCTTGAAATATATTCTTCAATAAACACATTATTATTATTGGCGGTTTGCATTTTGTTTTATTTTTATTTTTTTTTTTTTAATGATGAAATTTTTGGAGAAAAAAAAAAAAAATGCACGGTAGATCTAAACCACTGGTCATTATAAACACGAATGACGGTGTAACTACAAAAAAAATTGGGCGGTTAGTAAGATATCTAAATTTGGTCAAAGATTTTTTTATTGGTTCACTTGACCTATCACAGTCAAAAAAGGAGACGATCTTATTCGAATTCGTTGATAATCAAGTTTCCGTTGGGTTTTCAGATCATCACTATAAAACCATCATACATAAAATTAGGGATGCTAATGGTCATGGTCACGGTCAAAGACTTCTGACCGACCATTGACCGACCACGATCGACCACGATCGACCGTTACCATCCCTAAAAAAAACTTAGCTTTTGAAACTGAGAAAATTTGTTAGGAATATTGAAAAGTTACGAAGGTAAAAGTTTTACAAATATAAATGTATTTGTAGATACATTATTAAAAAGGTTTTCTCTTTTTGAAAAGAAACATACATAACATAAGTACAGTGTATAAACAGCTTATAAGTTAAATTTATTGTCTAATTTTTAAGGAAATCTCCATATCTTATAAAGTAAATTTGATGTTACTCGGCAGCTTCCCTTTTCTATTGAAAGGTTTCATATGATTATAACATTAAATGTTACAATTATCAAAATAAAACAAGAATTTAAAAAGAAAATATTTCTCTTTTACGTTCTTCATTTCTTTTAGTCATTTCGAATTCTTAAGTATACGTCTGTCATAATTATCATGGAAATAGAGGCACCTTCTCTTCCATTTGATTGATAAATAAAATAATATTCGACATGGCATGCGGTTTACTTCTCCTTAACACCTCTCCATTTCGAATTATTCTTTTTCGTTTACTGTAAGTATAAAGGCGTTTGTCTTTCCATTTTAAATCTAAATAAAATATAAAGAATGATATTATATATCTCATTTACATCTCTCAACTTCTATTTTATGAAATTTGAATTTTACCATAAAGTCTTTGACTTTGAAATATAGTATATGAATGTTCCCTCAAGTGTGGAAAATAGTAATACATAATAAAGTTTAAAAGAACATAAATTAATAAAATTGAATCACGTTAATTTTCTTTATGAGCAAAAAAGTTAAGAAAGAAAAGGTTTGGAAACAGCTCGATTGAGGCACTGTTATATGTGCTAATCGCATTAAATGATCGAAAATTTTGGAATATTTTTGAACATATTTTATTAGAAACTGTGTCATTACGTGTAATACTCTTACTCAAATAATTTTCAATTAACAATATAAAAATAACTACACCACAAAAATACAAAATTTACATTCTGTGACAAACAGGATCATGAATAAAGTCGAGGATACGAATAATTAACTGTATACTTTTGGCTTAGTAAAATTATTGATTTCACTCATAAATTTTTTTTTTTTTATGATTGCAAAATTTTCATTTAAATAATATAAGTGATAATCTAAAATTATATAACTCATATGACGTTGTGCATCAATCCGTTTTGTTTAGCACATTATGATACGAGAATTTAAAACTCATTTCAATGTAATAATTCACTTGGTTCTAAGGTATAGACGTTGAATTTACATTGGAATATCTCATGGGCAAATTATGAGAGCGGAGTCACTTCCACGTCTTATTCACAATTTCTTCGAAAGAAGAATTTCCACCATCCACTTGGAAATATTTGGGAATAACGTTTTAGAAAAAATGTTTGTTTCACGATTGATCGCATTATTTAATTTACTAACCGTCTATGTCCTTTTCATTTTGTCACTTAAAGAATTATCTTAATGATTCTTAATTAAAAGTTGACATAACTAGATATTTTGCGAAAAAGCTTTCCATGGCATTGTTAAATCGGCAAAATATTTTCCGATATCGATCGTAGAAACCTAACCATATCCTCGCGATAGGTTATATCTTGATATTTTTTTCTAATGGCCCGTTAACAAGCCTTCTCAATTTCTCGACAAAGTGAAATTACAATTGAGCGCTCTTGTCAACTGTATATATCACGTGATAAGTACTTTAAAAGAAATTATTTATAATGGGGTCTAGGATAATAACCTAAACCCGGAGTCTAGGATAAATTTGCATTTATTTAATTTCATATATTATTATTATTAAGGATGTGATAGGTAGATTTAATTTTCTCTGTTTCCTTTATTACATTATTATTTTTTTATTATTAAATTTTCTAATTTTATTTTATTTTTTGTTTTTAGGTTTATCTTCGCAATGAAGTGTCGGTTCGATCTGCTGCTAAGGACGGGGACGTTCCATTTCGGTACCTCTTCGGTCCTACTTCGGGTCTCCGAAAGTAAATTAGGACTAGGAGCGTCAAGTTAAATTTATACAAATAGAGCATGTGATATTGAAAAATTGTTTGACGGGTTAACAGCATATAATTATCTTTATTTGAGCAGAATATTTTGAGCTAGTCCGGAGCCGGTTCCGGTTCGATTGTTTAAATTTGGTAAAATTGTTTGTAATTCAGGTAAATTCAGATTATGCTGAATTTAAAATCGGCGACTCTGAGTCAACCGTTACATCCTTATCTGCTGCGATGCTTTTAATTTTTATTATTATTATTATTTTGTTAACTGGGGATCATTTTCATTTATTTTTTTTTGTACAATTTCTTTGGGCTGGATCATTGTGGGTCACAGCAATTTTTTTTTAAAAAAATTTTATGATTTGATAATCTTTAAGTTGGTATGCCAATTATTTGAGAATTGTTACAGTGAGTGAAATCAATTTTACAATCTGCCTAAGGTGTTCAATCCTATCTGTAATAGTTAAACTATCAATTGTATCATCATAAATAATAAATTCAAGATGACTGATTCTCTTTTCTAATTCATTAATAATTTCTTGCTTTCTTTGGATGATACTTCACGTTTTCTAATCTTTCTTCTAAATATTTTAATTCTGAACGTTACTTTGTTCCAAGTCTAAGGATTTTTCTAAATTATTTTTTTAAAAACCATTTTTTTTTGATTGGATATTTTTTATTTGAATTGTTCGGTTGGTCATTTTATACGAGTTTTATCTACCATAATAATCAATCTTTATTGAATTTATATATACACAATAGTGTTTTACAGCTAAGGTTAGGATTTAGCCAATCAGTGGCTTAATAGTCATTTATTTTTTGTCTGACTTTTCATTTACATTTTTTTGACCTTCGAAAGACAAAATCAGCATAATATTTATTGTATGTATTCTTTCAATTATTTTTTTTTTTAAAATACTAGTACTTGAATTATCGTGTCAGTTATTCACTTGAAAGGCAACTAATAACAAAATTTCCAAAAACATTTACCAAGTTACACATTGTTGAAATGCACATTCAATTGTCATTTATTTCTAAACTCTCAATTTACAAGAACTTTCATTATCATCTTTTAAAAAAAAAAGGATTAGAATATTTTAAAAATCTTCAATATTGTTGCATTCAGTTCTTTCGTTTATGTATTTATAAACAATTTGTAATGTAAGCAGAAGGTTTTTAATGAATTGTGACAAGAATTAATTTAATAATATCAATTAATCAGTGTTGCCTTAACGTCGGGCGCTCTACACTTTCGTTATATCAATATTTTAAACTCTATAAATGCCAAATACTAATTCTAATTAATTAAAACTGCGCAATTACGAAATTGTTACATAAAAATTGAATAATAAAATACTAATAAAAAAAAATCAGAATTAAAATAAAAATAATAAACGCTATTACAAATGCGAAATTATAAAATTAAAAGAGCGAAAATCGAAATTATCGCGAAGGTGTAAAAGGAGGATTGCGAAGGGAATGAATTTCAAAGAAATATGTTAAAGGCGAGCATGGAATATTGAGCTGTTTTAGGATTTCCGGCTCGATATATATAAAAGAATTTTAATTAAGCCAACCTGGCATTTTGACAAACTGCCGCCGTGACAATCTGGAATCTTGACATCCTGGCACCGTGATAGCCTGGCAAATGATCGTCAAAGGAACTAACTATAATAATCATGAACGATTTTCAAGCGAAGTTATAAAGATTTCGGCCGGGATTACATTTAATCGTAACAATATGCAACACTTCCAAAATTACAAATTTTAACTTTGAATATAAATGTCCAGATGTTGAATACCTGATCAATTTCTTAGAAAACAATGGAAAGAATTTAAAAAAACTTGATCTTGGCAAAAAAAAAGATAATGATGTTTCATTACATTTAGCTATTGCCAATTTTTGTACAAATTTAAGGTCGTTACGATTTATAAGTTTATATAGGAATTTGGATTCACTAAAAGTAATTTTTAATGGTTGTGAACAATTAGAAAGCATTGATATTTGGAGTGGTGAACGTTGTGATGATGGTGATAACTATATATCAGTGCATGAATGATTGTAGAATTTTCACCTAAAAAGTTTCATGAGTTAAAGGTAGATATTAGATGTTGCGTAAATGAGAAAAGGAATTTCAATGGTTAAATCCTATCTTCAAATGCTGGCCGAACCGTGTGTCATGTATTCCACTTTCTTTGACTATTCATACGAATTTATATACGGAATTTGGAATGAATGAAAGTAAATTAATTGAAAAGTTTAAAAAGTTGGGTGTTTTTAAAGAAATTAAAATACTTAATGATGTTCCTGAATATATAAATATTTGGATTTATCGCGTATTTGATTATTATATTTCAAAATAAAGAACATTTTAAATATTATGGTTGAAATCAATTTAATAAATTATAGGATTCCTTATTAGATTTTAATGTGCTGTACATTATTATAACGAGATAAGTAAATCATCAGTTATTAACAATAAACTTAATAAAGGATGTTATTTTGCATTCTGTGATACTACTTAGGTCCCCAGAATCTGTACGAAATAAATGTTAGTTTGCAAACTCTAGGCCGTTTTCTTGTATATATATGCACACCACAACCCAAAAAAAAATTTCATGCGTGTATCGTTATTTATAATGGTATTACGGTCAGCTCATGTCGTTGTATAAGTTATAATATCATAATTGTTTCCGATTCTAATTTATGGGAATTTTTTATTCAAGATCACCATCTTCCTTTTAGTAATTTCCTTTTTAAAGGTCTTTGATTCTGAATTTATTTTTTTTTTGTTTTAAGGGAAAAGATTTTCTTCAACAACCGACCTAGAATTCCATTAATTTCAAAGTTTTTATCGCGTGTAATCGTGGCAACCTCAAATCCGGAGAACCATTTTTTTCTGACATATCAATATGAACTAACTTATGTTTTTTACATAATTATTTAAAAACCTTAAAAGGTGTGAAAATGGGAGTGGTGAAAAATTAGCCTATGCATATCATCTTTAACAGTTAGCCAGAACTTCCTTCGTAACTGGTGATGATACAATTATAAAGGCCAATTTCACAAAAGATGCTCGTGCCTTTGGAAAATATTCCTGATTGCCATACGCAGCTTCTTATTATGAGGTATAATTTATCATAGATATTTCAACCTTACAACTTTAGTTTATGTGATTATTCGATGTAATACATCTAGTTTAGGTATTTACAAATTTACAAATCCTTTTAGAATATTAATATGTTTAGAGAATGGTAAACTTTATTCTGAATCAAAAATGTTTAAGGATGTCGCACGTTATTATCATGAGGTTAGAATGTGAAACGAAGTAAGTGGGTATTTTGTAAAGGCAAAGAATTATGATAATGCAGTTTTTACTTATAAAGATGGTTGTCTTTATGATATGGTAAATGATTTAATTCAGAGGTAAGCATAGTAAGGATCTTTCAAT